CTCAACCGGAGTGAGTTATTAATGTTAAATATGCATTTTCCTTGATCTTCAAAAAAAAAAACCCCATAGAAAGGAATTACAGAGCAAGAACTCGTGAGGATCAATGGAAGCCATGACCAGTATTGTCCTGATGGCACTAGGAGCCATTACAGGCAGAGGCATAGATGTCAGCAATCTCGATTGATAGCCAAACTATTTGGGATGAGTAGCCTAGTCAGAAAGGGCCCCCCTTGAAGCTGCTTTTAGGAAAGAGTGGAGGGCACCGTCAGAATAGACTTGGTGTCTGCAACACTCGCCCAAAATTGCAGTCAAAAAACGGTAGCGCTACATGGCAAGGACGGCCAGAGGGAGAGGCCGTTCAGCTGAGCTGCAGCATGACCTTCATGCTCTGCAAGCGTGGTGGGATCTTTTGGCCTAGGACAGGTGTGGCCACATACAGAACTGGGTACAAAGCAATAACCAACTCCGCAAAGTTAAATCGTCCATGTAAAAGGAAGCAGTATGACAGTCTGATACCTATGCAGCAAATATTTCTTCTGCAAGGGAAAAAAAAAATACAGGACAATAAAACCCCACAGATAAGACAGCTTCCACCAACTGTTGCACACAAAAAGCCGCAAGCAGTTTTGTGATAGAGTAGATAGTGGGGGAAATGCATTGGTGACATACCTACCACTTCTCTCCTACAAAGGTGAAGAGAGGCAGGGAAAGCCCAGGTAGCTCAAACCAACATTCAAACTACATGGACCCTGATTGTTTGGGCAATACAAAAAGATACAGATTTTTCATGATCTCCATTTGAGTTGCTGAAATCCATATTACACTGTAGCAAGTCTGGAATTGATTTTTGCCCTAATAGCACAGTCATACATATTGCTGCTTGTTCTTCCCAGCAAAGTGGGTGAGATGATGACAGCTTGAATGCTAAGGATGTCCTCTGCCATTTCCATTTCCTGAATATGCCAGGTTAAGGCACGTTTTTATTTTCAGTAGGAGGAGCCAGTTAACCCATAATATCAGACACTGGGAAAAAGCACTCACCTTGCAGACCTGAGAAGGGTTTGGGTTGCCACAGCCTGCACTGTAGCACAAGACTGGCTCTTTCCAGGGGAGACGGGTATGGCCCCATCTGGGACTGATTAAGTGCCTCCCAGCAGAGGTTGAAGGACCTGATGAGGAGCGCCTGGACCTTTTCAAAACTGGCGTAAAGCTTAGGGTGGAGAAAGGAGTTGAACGAAACAGTGTGTATTCCTGAGGCTGGTCCTGGAGAAGATGACGTCCAGGCAAATGTGTCCCTGCAGAAGCTGGTGGCACAGAGCGGGCCGTCTGGGACACTTCAACTTATCACTGCACTGATGTGGTCACCGTTTCACACGTCTTCCACTCCGCTGGTATAAATGGGCTAAACTGCTGTAATTTTAACCCTGAAACTTTATAGGCATTTACCTGCACATGCATTAATACGGGCAATTAATTTGTTCAGCCTGACCCACAGTAAACCTGTTTTAATTTAAAGCCAATATAAAAACATCATCTGTCCGCACCCCAACTTTTCTCTCCCTCTTCCTTTTTAACTGCACACATCACGTTGTTTCAAGTGCCTCCATAAGACCAAAGGAATCTGAGCTCGTGGCAGAGGCAATATCTTTTATTTGACCAACCAGATTTTTGCAAAAAAAAAAAGGCTTTAATTGCAAGCTTTCAGGCACAAGCATCATTCTTCGGGATAGGAGAAAAGATTGCAAACGTTCTCCTGGGTAGAAATGAAAGTCCATATTTCAGATGAAATCATACAGCAGGGCCACAGTGCTGGAAATTTGCCATATGTGAGGTACCCTAAGCATTTTTTTCTCCTTCAGAACTGGAATATGTTTGCCCCTGTTCCTCTAGGAGTGCAAACATGGTTTGGCTCTTGGGTTAACACTGACCGCTCACATGGCTGCAGGGCTGCTCAGGACCCAGTGTCAGTGGCTTGGGGACAGAGGATCCCTCCCTTGGCACTGGGAGGAAGGAAAAGGTTCTTGGGTCTTTTTTTGGACCCCAAAACCCAAGAAGGGGACAGATTCTTTCATGACAAAAGCCAAGTCATCTCACCTGCTGAACAGGCTGAAGAGAAAGCGGCAGGGTGTCTGCCATGCCATGCCATCCTGGGGTGTGCACAGCCCACTTCCTAGTGCACTACCAACTGGGCTTAAATACATTCGCTTCAGCCCCTCCTTTGAAACAAGGTGCATCTGGGCTGTGCCTCCCCTCCCTGATTCTCTCTCATCATCTCCCCTCAAACCTGGGTTTTCCAGTACAAAGAGCACTAGAAACAGGGGTCACCCAAGGGAAGTCAGCTGCTCCCGTTTGTCAAGGTAGGCATGGACGTTCACACTTTGCTAGACTGAGACCTGCGAGGCAGATATCCCGAGCCAGCCTCCAACCGGCCCCTGTGGAAAGTAAAGCTTCCCACTTCCAAAGGTTATTATAAACCAGAAGGATCGTTACACCGTGAGCGTGATGAGAAATGTACTGGCCAGGAAACAGGGCGGTGAAGCTGGGAGCCGGTAGCTGAAAGAAGCCCCAAATAGTTCAGTAGTCCCCAGGCTTAGCAGAGCTCTGCAGACCCAAGCATTTCCTTGCAGGGGAGTCTTTCCAGGATCAGGGCCCCAGAGGGGCAGACATTCATTGGGATCAATGCATAGCATTTGCATTTGGATCAATTCAGGCCCTTTTGTAGCATTTCAAATTCCCAATTCAAGCGAAGACAGCTAAGGCTACTACTCAAACAAGTGTCAAGTCCTGTTTTACCCTGTAAGGAAAGCCAAGCTCCCCCAAATTGCAGTGACTCAGATGCAGTGAAGGGCAGAGATAACATCAGCACATGACTCCTTGCTAGGAATAAGCTGTTCCAAGAGTGCAACGCCAGCTCTGGCTCCAGCGGCCACTGACACACTCAGAGTTATTCGGGTTTGGGGCTTTCTTTTTTGTCTTGGTTCAATTATCTAAAAGGCAATTCCTGAGCAGCAATTTTAGAAAGCAGCCCCATTCATCCCACAAAGGCTAACGTGCAATAGCGGTGCAATTACCAGGAGCAATCATTTAAAAAGCTGCCGGTCAGTTTGTTTTACCACTGGCTGCTCCTCATTGCTACAGACATGGTGCACCAGCCTGCTGCCTGCCACACCTTGCAGAAGATTTACTAGGATTTTCCTCTCTTTGTCTTGCTCAGAGGGAGATTTTGTGGCATGATTAGAGACCCTGTGGGAAAGGAGAGGCTGGATGTGGCAGGTTCCACGAAGCAGACATTGTGTGAGCCAAACTCTTGAAGGGGATATAGTGCAGGATTAATCAGTCTTACAAAAGCCCAGTCTAAAGAAACAGAAATCCACTCCCTAGCTGCAATCAATTCCTATTATTTTTATAAGAACTACTCTAACAATAAAGGCAAGAGAGATGAAAACTGTTCACCTATGGGCAAAAGCAACAGCAGGGGGAAAAATACTGAGAGAAGAGCCCATTTTCTGCCCCGCTTTCATAGAGGCAGCCTATTGCTGCTTTGCAACATAGGGTGGAAGAGACCCTTGCTACTGCAGGGAGCCATCCATAATCACCCCTTGTGTGGATCGACCTTTCTAAGAAGGGGAAGGGAGCAAGGGTAGGTTTACGGGATAACTACACCTGGCAGATTAAACAGCAATAGGCCTGACTGCAATCCTGAATGCAGAACTATGTCATGAAGCCAGTTCAGGGAGGCCCTGTCCTCCCCCAGGGTGAATTGCCAACATCATGAATATTTGAGGAAAAGTCATGGCCATTTGCATTGGGAAGAGGGCTGGAGACATGCACAGGCAACCCATACAGGTCACATTCAGCTCCGGGAGGAGCAGATCTGGCTACCAGCATCATAAGGCTTTCACTAGGGTGGCTGCTCTCCTGCCCTTCCCTTTTAAAGTTATACAGGGTGCAGCTTCCATAATGGCCTGTTCACTCATTTTTTCCCCCCTAAAAAAATAGGGGGTAGGAGGGAACTACGGGGAACTTCTCCTCTAGTAGGACTAGACCCTGCTTATTGCCCTGCCATCTGAGACGGTCTCCGCAGCCCATGTAACAACAGGGAGCAGCACCCCAGTGCAGAACAGGATGACCGCGCACTGCCAGAATGGGATGGAGCAGGACCACCAGTGCGGCAGCGACCAGAGGGACACATGCGGCACCAAAGACCAGCCCCCTTCCCCGACGGGCACGAAACCAGCTGCAAGAGCGCTGGCCTCCTCCTTCACCTGCGGACATGGGCACCACCACCTTGTAGCCTTCCCACCGCAATCATCCTTTCAGGACGTAGCTTTGCCTCAGGCCAGTTCCCCTCTTTTCTCCAGGTCAAGGGATTTCGCTCCTTCCCAAAGAGAGAAAAAGCCAGGTTGGCAAGACAACTCCTATTCCACTATTCTCCCACTGAGACCATGACCCTGACAGGACGGGAAAACCATATGTGAAGGGTGGGATTGAGAGGCTCAAGCAAATGCCTTCCCCAGGCAGCAAAACCACCTGCTCCCCAAGCTCTTTTCCTGGAGGAGGTGGCTCGGTTGGGGTGAATGGCCTGATCCCCTCAGTGCATTTGCTGGACGTACCAGGGGCTCCTGATGCCTTCTTACCAGGTAGCTACCTAAATCCTTATAACGGTGGTGGGAGGTATTTCTAAATTTCCCTCTGCCCTATAAATTTAGCCACCTTTGGCGATTCTCTCAAGGCAGCAGAGCAATCCCCAACAAAAATCCTAGCGACTAAAAGAACAGACTCTGCTTCCGTGAATTCATTCCCTCCTCTGCAGCCTCAAAGTACAAGTCCCAAACAGCCACATTTTAAATTCCAATTACACTTGGAGCCACTTGCTCCAATTACAGCATGGTTAAAATGCAGCAAGTGTTGAACAGCGACATCAAAGCGCTGACAATGTTGGGTTCCCTCCCAACTTCGCTGGGTCTATATCAATGTAACAAACTTTAAAAAAAAAAAAAGAGTATTAAAACAGACTGTTTATTACAACATATGATGTGTTATATTAATTTACATGATGATATATAAAACAGCCATTTATGATGTACAGTAATTTGACATCAACAGGAATATTAAAACTATTGATACTCATGCATCTGGCATGCATATGTTTTTAAAAAGCAGTCTTACACAGTATATCGAAGAATTACTAAGCCTTCCACAGCTGGCCCGAGGGTTCGGTCTAAAACGGGGGACTCCCACATCCCACTTTGTAGGTGTTAGGGGCAGAGTGCATGGTAGAGAAGGCCACTCCATGTCTGGCTGGGAGATGAAGGGAGAGCCCTTCCTTGGGAGAGGAAACTGGGGCAAATTATTAGGAAGGACAGTAGCAGCAGAAAATTAAGGGACTAGCAAAAAACCACTGAGACAACCTCCCCTCCCCTCAATCACGACCTCATCCTGTATAAGCCCCAGAGCTGGAAAGACCAGGCAAGGAAAATCCCTTCTTAGAAACATGAATATTTCTCAAAGCCTGCCAACGCTACGTTACCACTGAAACGGAAGTGTTGTTTGTGGCTAGTACAATGGTCTTCATTTCCACATAAAAGGCACTGGTATCCACCCAACTTCTGCAGACAAGTCACATAATTTACCTCCATTTATTCAATTTAAATATTTGAATTTTAAAACTCTATGAAAATATGTACACAAAAAAGCACCGTGTTTCTTTGAGCAGAAACGGACATGAGCCAGGCAAGTCACGTCATCAGACGGTTGTCATCAGTTTGAGCGAGCCCGATCGAAAGCGAAGGATTTTCTTTTTGAGGTTATGGGAGGCTTTGATTTTGACAAAAGCCTTGGCTGCATTTTCGTGCAGCTCCGGAGCAGTGACTGACTGGATAGGAAGAGTCTGGACAAACTGGGACCAAATAAGACCCCCACTTTCATCTGAGTCGCTGGTGGTGGTGCTCTCCCCAACGAACTCCACCTCACTCAAGCTCGACTCGCTGTCCCCAAAGCAGTTCGTGGTGTAGTTACTCTGCTCGTCTTCACTTGTGTCCACCACCGTGGAGTGGAAGAGGGATTCACATTCGGCCGAGTACTCGGAGTCACTAGCAACGTAAGCGTAGGGGCTGACGTACGTGTGGGACACTTGGGAATAGAGCCCCGCCACTTCTCTCCTGTTCCTCCTTGCCCTCCTCAGGGCTTCCTCGTAGGAAATCTCTGCTGATGACTTCCACCGGCGATAGTCTCCCCGCTTGTGTTTAGGTTTGGCCACGATTACCTCCCTGCTGTGGCCGTGAGATTTGACCACGGATTTATGTAGGCCAGACTGCCTGCTTGGGAGACTGGACTCTGGCTGCAAGCCGCTGCTTTTCTTCCCTCTTGACGAGGGCTTTTTGAGTTTCTTATTTGTATCCAAGTCATCTGGGAAGCGACACTTTTTGCCAACGAGCTTGGTTTTCTCCCGCACGGTCTGGGAGCTGTTTTCCAGCACGTTGGCAAGGTGGGGCCTGTGTTTCAAGGTTGAACTTTTCAGAATCCGGACACTTTTGGTGCCTCTGTGAAGCTTAATGCTTTGCTGCTGCGCTGGGACGTACTGAGCGTTCACCAGCAACCCTTCGTCCAAGCTCTGGGAGGAAGAGCCCTCACTCTTGAAATCCAAAGCAGGTCTCTCCTCAACGGGAGGAGTGGCACCAGCGTGAGCCACCTGCATGCTGTTCTTCAGCAGGACTTTTTTAGGTGGCTGAATCACTTTATTCTCTTGCTGTAGCCCCGTACGCCTACCGGGGCTTTCCTTCGGGGACAGAACAAAGAGTTGGCCACTTTCCCTTGGGACATCCCCTGTCGCAGGCACAGGACACCGGTTCGGCTCTTGAGAAGCCAGTCTGACGTTGCGCAGCAGGTGTTTGCTTGGAAGTTCATTGACTGTGCTTGGTGGGAAAGCGGCCGGCAAAGGCATCTTCCTACTCTCCAGCTGCTCCCCATTTGATTCTTTTGGCCGCTGTTTTACGGGGGAGAACGTGCTGGTATCCAGAGCAGGAGCTGCGCTAGCATGCAAACACACTTGCTTGGGATTCTTCGGGTTCCCTGCGTTAGCGTGCGCCACCCCCGCAGCCTGCCTAACGCACAAGCTGCCATGTCTCAAGATGCCTTTCACAGGATCGGTGTTGAGACTTGTCCTGGGTTTGTTAGTCCGTACAGAGTGCGTCTTTTTCTGAACGAGGCTCAGGATGTAGCCGTCTAGTCTCTTGCTGGCTGAAGGACAGGATGCTGACCATGAGCTCTGCGGGGCAATGGAATTGCCTGCTTTGGCCAAGTCTGCTTCAGATCCAATGCAAACGTCACTCCCGTTGCAACCAAGTCTCTCCTCTTCTCTCTGGGGGATGCCAGTCATTGGCAGAAGAAACATTGGACTCTGAACAGCGACGGCATGCAGGGGGCTGGGGTACCGGTACACATCATTCCCATTCTTAGATACCAAGTCGCACTGATACTTGGGATGTACATCTGCAACCACATCAAGGGAATTCGAGTGAGGTGTGGACAGAGACCGACACACAGCCTGATCCTCTTGGGGGCCTTCCTTATTATAATCCATCCAACCTATGAGATCTGCAATGCATTTAAAAAAAGAGTTTAGAGTCTGCTAACCTATAGTGTTGCTTCTCCTTTGTCTTTTCTAAAACTCTGTCCTTGCCTACACTCGCAGTTAGTCATGCTTTACCTGTACCAAGGTAGTTTAAAAGATACAACCCCCCTGCCACACCTGGTGTGGATACAGTTAGATTTATAAAAGCTCTAATATAGTTCACAAATTATACCCTCAACTGATAGCGGTACCCTGGTGCATATACCAATCCTCAAAGGACCTTCCATTTTATGCTTGTAGAGTGGACTTTCATATCCACCTTGTGCTGGGGAACGCAGATAACCTGAACACGTTGAGAGAGAGAGAGAGAGAGAGAGAGAATGTGTGTGTGTGAGTGTGTGTGTGTGTGTGTTGCGGGGGAGGTTACACAATATTTTTTATAGTGGTAAAATCAAAAGGAAATTGGACAATGAATTATTGCAGCAGTAAAATTATTAGGAGGTTGAAATATGCTATTAGTATTCTTTCTTTAGGACCTTCAAACCAGCCACAGATATGCACAGGTTTTACTTATGATGACTTTTAATGCACTCGTTTTGCATTTGGTCTCAAATTGCAGCAAGGGAAGTTGAGGTTAGATATCAGGAATAACTTTTTCACTAGGAAAGTAGTAAAGTACTGAAACAGGTAACCCACAGAGGCGGTGGTCACTCCATCCTTGGAGGTTTTTAAGACCCGGCTCCACAAAGCCTTGGCTGGGATGATCTAGTTGGGGCTGGTCTTGCTTTGAGCAGGGGGTTGGACTAGATGTGACCTCCTGAGGTCCCTTCAACCCTCATTTTCTATGACTATGATTTCAAGATTTTCCATCCTAAGATGATCGAGATGTCCTTTGAACAGTGAAGAGTCAAGGGTGTGAAGGAGAATAGTCTTTTGATTTAAATACAAGGGTGTGAATCAAGGATCCTGAGCTTCTATTCCTGGTTCTGAAAAAAATATCCTTCCTTTTGGGTCAGTCATTTAGATCAGCGTTTCTCAACCCGTAGGTCATGACAAAAAAGTTGGTCACGAGAATATATGAAAAGGTTGCAAACAAAACTTGAAAAAGTAGATCAGCAAACTTTAAAAATGGAGTCTCTTTAAAGGAGAAAAACGTGGGAAACCGTGGGTTTTCTCTTGCAGGCTGGCAGAGGTCTTGCCTGCAAGGGGATGCTTGGGGCCCCCCGCTGCCCCACACACTGGAGGGCTGGGGCCTGGGGGTCAGGAGTGAGGGGCACTGGCAGGGCCAGGGGGCCATTTTCTACTTACAAGTATTTACCGAGTCTGGACTGAGAATTTACTGAGCAATTGGTGGTTACAAATGGGTCCTGGTACAAAAAAGGTTGAGACCCACTGATTTAGATGACGATGTTCACACACCAGTATCTCATATTTGTCCCTTAAGCCCACACTGATGCACCCAAGAAAGGGGGCTGATTTTCCTCACTTAGCAATCCAGACTTCAGTGGGGTTGCTTGCGTGAGAAGTTATTGCACCTCAGAGAGTGTGAATTCAAGAATTAGGACACTAGACAGGAAGAGTCAACTCCATGTCATTCAGCTCATTGCCTTTCTTAAATTCCACATCACCGTCTAGCGTCCAGGGAGGGTTGTTGCCAAAACAACAAAAGACTTTACTGAAAGAGGCCAGTTTGCAAAATGTCATTCCTTGAAGTTGGATCAGCTGAATGCAACTGTTTAAGAGTTTCACATTTTCATTATCCAGACAGAAGACCAGCAGCATAATCGGCTGTAAATCTTTGTGAGTGGTTTTTACAAGCCTGCTCGATAAAGAGCGCTTATACTTTTGCCATAGGAATAGTTACATTACATCAAATAGGTCAAAGGGTAACCTCGGAGCACTCCACGTCTTAGAAAGTGTCTGAGACTACAAAGTCCTATTTGTAGGCTAGGCAAACTGGCGTGATTTTTTTTTCTGGATTCCTAAATGCAAAAGTTCACTGTTCATTATCGTCACAGAGCAGAAAGGAAATTTTAAATACAGCTGGTTATAAGCATTCTTCATCATTCAACATGAACCGAGGTTTTTAAGCCAGCATGGCGACAACTTTAGTCAATCATGTTCAAGTACAATGGTCCTATTTATGCTCTCTTTGCACACCAAATAAAGGATTCTTGAAACACCGGGGCTTGTAAGAAGCCTCAATATATAACCTCTCCTCACATGTCCACCCAGAGGTTTACATCCTTAGAGCACAGTAATGGAAAACTCAAACATCCATCATCCCCTCACTAAAAAGAGAGAAACCTTTTCCATTGTTCATGAGAGCCATTTGTCCATGCCACACGCAGCCAGGGCACGCTTCATCACAGTCAGCTCTGTACGGAGGACAGGGCTGGAATAACAGTGCTGCAGAGGGCGACTGAAGTGCCTGTCTGTGCCGTTATTGACTGAGCCTGATACGTTGTTCCCTTGCTTGTGTGAGTACCGAGTTGTCAGGCTTTAATTTTTTTTTTTAATGTGGAAATGATTTGCCAAAAGAAACAGTAAGTAAATGCATCGGGTCGTTTCTTATGCATGTGTGTGTGTACCACTGCCCTCTGCTGGGTAGATCAGCCCTGATATTTCTAGCTGTGTGTCTAGATCCTCGCTGATTCACACCAATGGCCAGAAAGTGAATTCAGTATGCTCTTCTGACAAGTTTGGCCAGCACTAGAGCCATCTTGGATAATTTGGCAGAAAATGCAAAAACCAAAGAGTTAATTCAGCGGCAATTCCACTGTCAGCCAAAGCCCCCTAAAGCCACCCCTGGTCACAGGCGGTGGAAGACAGCGGCTAACGGGGCTTAGCCCCTGCAAACGTGGCTCCAGCTGCTCCACCGCCACAGCACCATGCCCAGCACCCCTGCTGCATGCTCCTCCACTGCGTACAACAGCAACACGCGCCAGCCTCGCTATGGGCAGGCAGGAGGGAGGGGAGGGGGTCAGGCAGTATGCTCCACACCATGCCCTGCACCGCCCCCAGCCCCCCAAATAATATTTTCTTCCAACACATATGCCCCGGAGGAGTCTGAATTATTAATCCAGCTTTTACCGTACCTGCAGATTTTGGGCATCCATCAGAGAGATTCAAAGAGCCGTCCAGGGGGCTGCAAAAGCAGGTGCTAGAATGACAACTGGATAAACACTCACTGAAGACCGAGTTGGAGGAATTGGAAAGTGATCCAGAGGCCCCATCGCTCAGCTCATAAAATCCTATAAAAATAAGACAGCCTGGGTTTATTTGGGTTGGATTCACAAAAAAATTCCCTGCTTTCAAGAAAGTACTTAGTGCCCTAAACAAGCAATAGAGACTCTGTGTGTTTTGGCTCCAGGGTGGTGATCAATTATCTGATTACATTTAGTCCTGCAGAGCAGTTCAAAGACTACAGCAGCACTATCTGTAATGCTGGGAGGATTTCCACTGAAAGCCATTTGAAAATAAAGCAGTGGGAGGTCACTAAACATGTGAAATCTTAATACCTGGGACAATTTTTATAAGCTTTTTAAAGAAATCCCGTATTTTAGCAAGAGGGATCTTGCTTACGGTCATATGTCTCTTTCACAGTATATTATGCTCCCTGGTAGCTATTACTTGACTACAAAAGTCTCCACCAATGAGTAGGCCTGACACTATTCTTCATCAGAGATCTGGATGTAAAAACACTAGATCCAGAGATGGCTAGCTAGCGGATTAGGAGGGGCAATTGTACAGAATCTTTTGGAGCAGCTGGTCAGCTGGCAATGCCATGTATCCTCAAAAATTTAGGGGCCAGTGAGATGAGACCAGAAGAGCTCGGGCTCCCTTCTGGCCTGAAGCCTTGAATTTCCAAAGTCTTCTTCCTACCCCATGTGGTTGCTTCCTTCACTTTCCTGAAACCCACTTCTCAGAAGAGATGTGCGATTGCAAAGTGCATCCTCGGTGGACCCAAAACTGGCCTCTAACTATGGTGTGTGAGGAGGAACTGTCAATGGCAGCTGAATTTCTCTTGGCCCTGTTTCAGCTCCTGGGACCCTTTACAGCTTTCAGCTGTTAAACCCTTAAGCCAGACAGGAGTGAAGGTAGCAATTCTTTAACTAACTGTTCCACTCTGCTGCTTAAAGACCGTACCTGAACTCGGACGACTGTCTGTCTCAAGGTGTTCGTCTGCTGTCTTTTCCACATCCAGCCTTAGATCGCTGATCTGTTTATCTAGCTCTTGTAACTGGTTCAATAGACCGGCGTCTCTCCTCCTCAAGCAGTTCTAGAGGACAAGACAAGCACCGTAAGCCACATTTCTTGTCCAGAAACAAATGGGCTACAAGTAGCAGCAGCCCCGGCCACCTGAATGGCTTGTAAATTCCACGTCAGCTCTTTAAAAAGACCTGGGAAATCCTGCCGGCAAGCTTGGATTTAACTAAGCTATAATGCAGATGTCTCCTTCCAATCTCTTTCAGGCACGGTTTCAATAAGGACTTAGTATTCCCAGTACAGGAATACCGGCATACAATATTGGCAATGAGCTCCTGGGATCTTGCAAGCACCAACAAAGCTGGGCTTTGTATCACAATAAGAAAACCAACTCTCACAAGTAGAACCGACTAGGCTGGTAAAAGCCCGCTTTACCCTGTCGCTGCATCGACACTTGGGGTCCTGCTGACACAGCTGTGTCGGTCCAGCCCCACATCACCCCGCGCTCCTGACCTACGTGCAGCCGGGGAGGTGACAGTCTGCAGGCGAGACGCAGCCTCGGTCTGTGGTGCATTGCAAGCTTATATTCTTGAGCTTTAGAGCAAGATTGCAGAAGCCAGGGTGCTTTCCTGCATTTTGCAATGCAGTCAATAGGGAAAGCAAAGCCTTCTCTTCCCCTCACGTAACGGCACGGAATGACTGTAATACAAATGTCAAGGCAATTCGGAGGTGTACAGTCTCCAATAAAGAATGGTTGTGTACTCATTAGCCCACGGAAAGGGGCATCAGTTCCCGAGGAGCTATCTGACACCTACCCAGTTAATCAGCATTCACGTACCCCCTGCGCACGCAGTGGGCCGTGCCCCCAGCCACGCTGCGCTGGGTTTCCTTCTTGAGCGCTTTGGCACCTAGGAAGGACCAGATCCTAAACCCATGAAGTCAATGGGAGCTTTCGCCAGATTCATGGCAGCCTTGGACCCGACCCAAACAAAAGTGAAAGCGAAGGTTAATGTCACGGGATCACTAATAGCATCACCGCCGACTCAGGTCTGGTGTTGTGCACTGTCCACCAGGGACCAGGACTGCACTCGAGCTCCTTCCCCACTTCTGACAAGAGCCGGGAGCTGGAACCAACCCAACGCTGCAGAGGTGACGGGGTCCAGGCAATAATGCACTGCGCCACCTCGTGCCCCCCGTCCCCCCGCCATGCCCTCCCCTGCAAGGCCCTCCAGGCCACGCTCCATCTGGGTCAAATTTGGAGCGTCAAGTGCAGCTATTAAAGTGTTACCACGGCCCCGCGTGGGAGTAATCCTGCCCGGCCCTTTACTGTGGCCGCCCGGCAACTTGTATCTCCCAAGTGGCTGGTCCCGTCACTGGGGAGCAAGAATTAAACCTCTCAGAGCCAGCTCCTCAGCCAAAAGCCATCAAGATTGAGCAACTCCACCTCTCTCACAAGAAACCTCAGATTTCTTTCCTACTCAGCCTGGAAGACAGGGCATCTCTTTACATCCTCTGCATGGTTAAGAGGAAAATAAAAAAAAAAAAAAAAAAAA